CAAAATAGGCGTTTCGACAGCCAAATCTAGCCATGAAGAAGAGAAGTGACGGCCCAGGTGTTATTTTCCTCCATAGATTTAACTCTTTCATGCATAGCCAATCTCCATTCAGGAAACTTCACAGCTTGGTGATAGTATTGAGGCTCAACCTGAGAAGATACACTGAGCACAAATGCTTGTGGAAATCTGAAAGGCCATGATAAGATATATAGTTAGAGATTGGATAATAGCAGAAGTGGAAGCAGGAGTAGAAGAACCAACAAGTAAATTGCAGTGGTAATCCTTCAAGTAATGAGGTTGATGAATCATCCTGATAGATTTGCGAAGAACAACACCAGCAGATGAAGAAGGAGTAGTTCTGGAATATCATTTATTGGAATATGGCTGCTGAAGTAGAAGTATCACCAGAGGGAAAAAGTGGATCATGAACAGGTGAAGAAGCAAGATCTAGAATAAAGGACTGTAATGAAGAATGTGGCAGAACTAAATCTGGAAACAGATCGGTACCTAATCGGAACTAGTAATAGCATGAAAAGGAAACACTTCCTCATGAAACACTGCATCTCATGAAAGAAACACTTGTTTGTTTCCACATCATAGAACTTATAACCTTTCACACCAGGCGGATAACCAAGGAAAGCACACTGGAATGGATGGTACAAAGTCCTCAAGCTTTTCATACTTTTGGAGAACTTCCTGCTGGACGGCAAGCTCAAGCACGAGGTTGGAACTTTTTCGATGAGCAGCTAAGGTGGAAACAAATGCTAAACAGCCAAAGACTCGAAAAACAATGTAATCATGAGCTGTTTGTATAGCAAATGAAAATGTGTGTTGTGCCTCAATAGTAGGGAAGGAGTTCTATTAATCAAGAGGTCGACGTAAGAACACAATCTGTCCAAAAAGAAACTGGGATCCTGGATTGAAAAAACAATGACCAAGCCACATTCAATAAGTGCTGATGTTTTCGCTCCACAACTGAGTTTTGTTGAGGCCTTTCAACACATGAAAACTTATGCAAAACGCCTTTATCTTGAAAAAAAACTCAACAAAAGATAACTCAGGTGCATTATCATACGAAATACCTTGATTTTGGCATTAACTGAGTTGAAACCATGTTAAAAAACTTTGGTATCACAGAGACTGCATCAGACTTATTCTTCAACAAATAAGCCCAAGTGAAACGAGTGCAATCATCAACAAGAGTCAAGAAAAACCGAGTCAGTATAAGAAACAGTTGGTATGGCCCCCAAATATCACAGTGCACAAGATCAAAAGGAAATTTGGACAAATGATTATTGGATTCAAAAGGCAACCTTCTTTGCTTAGCAAGAGGGCAAATATAACAAGGATCCAACTTATGTAATCTAGTTACATCACTTTCAACTGATCTTTCAAAGAATCAAGTCTCTTAAAAGCTTAAAAGAAATATGTCCTAATTTGTTATGCCAAATATGAGCAGAAACATTATTGCAAAGCATTGGAAATAGATTCAAACAATGAACATTAAGAACATAAGATCTTGAACTTTGTGACCCCTCCAATCATCCTCTTGGTGTAGATCCTGGATACAAAGCAATCAGGGAGGAAACTCACTGTAAGGGCAGATCTAGTTACTAAAACACTGACTGAGATCAAGTTGAATTTGAATTGAGGAACAAACATACATCCTTAAGCACAAGGTCAGAATGCAATTTAACATCACCAGCAAAATGAACCAATTCTGAGAATGATTGGCAAAGTAACTGTTGTGTGATGAAGAATGTAGGAAACAAAAGTACTGGCTTGTGAACAATATTCAAGTGCTCCTGAGTCTACAATCCAGAACGATTGGATGAAAATAAGGACTCAGAGAGACAGAGAAGCAAATACCTGCGAGACAGTTGGTTTGACTAGGATCAGGAGCATTGGTGACCTTTGCCGAGCTACTCAAATGTGTAGAAAGCATGGACATTAGCTGCTGATATTGATTGGAGTTTAGATTCTGTACAAAACCTCCAAGAATAGAGTGATCTGATCTATTATCAGTAGTAGAAACTTGATGAGCAGCAACATTATAATTGTTGTTGGATCTGAATTTATATCCAGGAGGATAACCATGGATCTTGTAGCAACGATCCACAGTATGTCCAAGAATCTTACAATGCATGCAATAAGGCCTATCTCTTTCTGATTCTTGGTAGCACTGGAATTAGAATTCTGAGAATTTTGAGAACTAGAACCACCAGACTTAGCAACATCTGTTTTAACAGCAAACGCCATAGTGCCATTAGAATTATCGAGGAAGGATTAGTCCTCCTTTGTTGTTCCTCTGAACAATAAGAGAGAAACACGATTGATAGGAGGCATCGGATCAGAGAAGCAACTGACCACAACTTGAGAGAAAGAATCATCAAGTCCCATTAGAAGGACATTATGTACTTCGTTTGATGATGATTGTTAGGTTTATTTCCATCACAAGGCCTTTCCACAAGAAAAATTAGGCCAGTAATTACTCAGCTCTTCCCATATAGTTTTCAGCTTTGTGAAGTAAATGCTACAGAACTCTGTTCTTGACGCAGATTCATCAATTCACGTTTAAGCTGAAAAATTCTCGGTCCATTCCTCTGTTGAAAACGATCCCTAAGATCTAACCAAATCTCTCGGGCAGAAGAAGCAAAAAATACTGGCAGAAATTTCCTTTGAAACCGAATTAAGATCTAGGATAACAATATTATTATTGCGAATCCAGGAATTGAGTAGATTATTGTCAGTACCTTTAGGTTGAAAATAGAACTCAACAAATCCCAATTTGTTCTTCACAGATAGGACAATACATCGGCACTCCAGCTAGTGTAATTCTCATAGCGAGCTGTTGCGAGACAAGCACTTGCCAGGGCTGTCAGAATCAGGGATAGTAAGGATTCGAAGGTTCATCAAGGCAGAATGATTCGAATTGGTACGCTCTTCAGAATTGGAACCATCAGCGTTCGAGGACAAGTAGCCAGATTGAAGAGACAAGAACAATCAATCGTAGGAAAAAAAGAAACAAGCAAATTTGCAGGCGGATCAATATGCTCTGATACCATATTAGCTCGAGAAGAAGAAGAAGAAGAACTGTGACGAAGAGAGAGAAGGAAGAATAACTGCTTTCTTTATCTTGAGAATAACAAAATAGAAGCAGGCTATATATATAGCCACTATTCAATGAATTATTATAACATAAAGTGTATTAGTGAAGCTAACTAACTAACTAATCTGAGATTAACAACTAATCAGTATTTACAATATTACACATCCTAATAGATAAGAAAAACTTGTCTACAGTTTGTCTTCTTAGTTGTACCGAGTTTTTGAATTTGTTACTTCCTTATAACACACAATTCAATATCATTATCAGACAAGAATTGTAGATTATATAATGATTGCCGATATGACACATCCTTTGTGCTTCTCACCTTCTTAATCAGACTTTTCGCTGTCTATTTATGCTACCGTGGTAAAAGGTGTATATTTCAGAAAAAAGTAAATGCAAATAAATCAATTTTCAGAGATTGATAAGCAAACATGCTAACTGAGTATTTACAATTGTTAGCATTAGAGACCCTAAGCATGTATCCTTCTTTGCTAGATTCCTTCAGGAAGGTTGTTAAAGATTTTGAATACGAGGGATACACTATTCCCAAAGGATGGAATGTAAGACAAATATATATATATCATTTTTATTTCCTTATTTCTACGATTTCAAGTGGTTAATAAAAAAAATGGACCTTAAACCACCAGGCTGAGCCCCTAGGGGGAATTCATCGTATATTTTTCCCACTCATTTCTCTGCAAATTAACATTACTATATCCTTAAGTAATTAGTATGTATTTGATTCCTAAAATTCATTTTTGACATGAACTCTCTTCATCAATTTTAGGTAATTTCATAATTTGGGCTGCATGCATCACGGTTTGATCCAACACATTTTGAGGAAGAGGCTAATGCTCATTTGGAGGAGAGCCAAGGATTTGTCCCGGATATGAATTCGCAAGAATTGAAACTCTAGTTACCATTCATTACCTGGTGACCCAATTTCCATGGAAGCTGTGTTGCATGGACACTTCCTTCTCTAGAAATCCTTTTCCAGTTTTCAAGCAGGGATTGCAAATACAAATTGAGCCAAAGAACTTTGTCAATATCAATTAAACTAACAAAGTGAATGAATTTGTGAACAACAATACTAGTACAATCGATGGACTCAAAGATTCAATTTATGAGACTTGCTTTTTTCATGACGCGAGTGGTTTTTACCAACAGTTCATTTCTACCCTAGTATCTACATATTAAAATTTGTTTCATATACCTCTTTGTAACATCGTTTATTATTAAATGCATCTATTGTTTTTGAAATACATTATATACTCACTTAAAATTACATTTAGCGTTACAAGAGTATCATCTACACCCTCCTCCGCGACTAGCAAAACCCCTCCATCGAAAGATACTTATTATTTTTAATAACTTTGGATACGTTTGATCTCAGATTGTAAATAAAATAAAGCCATTGTTACATGGTTAAATAATTTTTAAACAGCTTACCGTGGTTTTACCAGGTCTTAGGCCATCACATCGCAGATTAGCATTTAGAAGTTGTTTGATAGTATTAATGCTTTCACTTGGACAGCAGCTCTCATTACAAATATCGCTTAACAATGGCAAAACAATGACCTTTTTTGTCTTTGATGAAAGGTCCAAACACTTGCATGATTTTATGATAAGATGGAGAACTTCAATCAAAGATACCCAGTTCCTTTTTGTTTACCATTAAACATCAAGAAGAAAACACGAGAGACCATACTGCTTTTCTGTATATGAGTCCTGAATAAGGAAACCAATCTTTCACCAGAAGTTTTCGTGTCTAATAATTTCAGCTATGAACCTTTCAATCTATTTCAGTTTACTCGTTTTCCTTCTACCTCTGTACTATTTTATCCAGTTGGCAAGGAGAACTAATTCCAAAAAGCTTCCTCCAGGTTCTATGGGTTTACCAATTATAGGAAACAGCCTCAAATTTCTGCACGCCATGCACACTGACACAATGGAACAATGGTTTCACGAGAGAATTGGGCAATATGGTCCTATTAATAAACTCAGTCTTTTTGGGACCCCAGCAGTATTTCTTCATGGGCAGGCTGCAAACAAGTTTGTGTACACTTGTGATGCTGATACTCTTGGCCCTCAGCAACCACCATCCTTCAAAATGATTTGTGGTGAGAGGAACATTTTGGAGTTAAATGGAGATGACCACAAGCGTGTTAGGGGAATGCTTATGTCATTTCTGAAGCCTGAAGTTCTGAAGCAATATGTTGGGAAAATGGATGAAGAAATCAGAAAACACCTGGAGATACACTGGCATGGCAAGCAAAACATTGCAGTAAGTCTAAATATTTTGATAGTTAAAACATAAGCAGAATATTTTTTTTGACATTAAACATCTGAAATCTATATACTTTGAGTTTGTATGCTTTTCTGTTTCTCTTTGATGAAATGTGTATTGGATAATAATTTTCTATGACAACATAGGTGATGCCATCGATGAAGACTCTCACCTTCAACATAATGAGTTCTCTTCTATTTGGGATAGAACAAGGCGCAAGCAGAGATGCCCTTATAAAGCTTCTACGACAAATCATTGATGGCTCGGTGTCATTAGCAATAAATTTACCTTTCACATCCTTTCGTCAAGGCCTTCAAGCTAGAGCGAAATTTAGATCAATGATCTTGGATCTTATACATGAAAGAAGGGCGGCATTGAAGCATCAAACTGCTGTTCCCCATCAAGATCTCATAACTTGCTTGCTTAGCATCCGAAATAGCGAAAATTCAATTATTTTATCGGATGAAGAAATAGTAAACAATGTCATAGTTTTAATGATTGCTGGACATGACACATCCTCTGTTCTCATCACCTTCTTGGTCAGGCTTTTAGCCACAAATCCTACAGTTTATGCGACAATTGTTCAAGGTATGCAAATAATTTAATTTTCAATGCTAATTATCAAACAAACTTATTGAGTTGTTGGTTGAGATTGTAGAACAAGAGGAGATAACTAAGAGCAAAGCTTCAGGGGAGCACCTCACATGGGATGACCTNGGTGAGAGGAACATTTTGGAGTTAAATGGAGATGACCACAAGCGTGTTAGGGGAATGCTTATGTCATTTCTGAAGCCTGAAGTTCTGAAGCAATATGTTGGGAAAATGGATGAAGAAATCAGAAAACACCTGGAGATACACTGGCATGGCAAGCAAAACATTGCAGTAAGTCTAAATATTTTGATAGTTAAAACATAAGCAGAATATTTTTTTTGACATTAAACATCTGAAATCTATATACTTTGAGTTTGTATGCTTTTCTGTTTCTCTTTGATGAAATGTGTATTGGATAATAATTTTCTATGACAACATAGGTGATGCCATCGATGAAGACTCTCACCTTCAACATAATGAGTTCTCTTCTATTTGGGATAGAACAAGGCGCAAGCAGAGATGCCCTTATAAAGCTTCTACGACAAATCATTGATGGCTCGGTGTCATTAGCAATAAATTTACCTTTCACATCCTTTCGTCAAGGCCTTCAAGCTAGAGCGAAATTTAGATCAATGATCTTGGATCTTATACATGAAAGAAGGGCGGCATTGAAGCATCAAACTGCTGTTCCCCATCAAGATCTCATAACTTGCTTGCTTAGCATCCGAAATAGCGAAAATTCAATTATTTTATCGGATGAAGAAATAGTAAACAATGTCATAGTTTTAATGATTGCTGGACATGACACATCCTCTGTTCTCATCACCTTCTTGGTCAGGCTTTTAGCCACAAATCCTACAGTTTATGCGACAATTGTTCAAGGTATGCAAATAATTTAATTTTCAATGCTAATTATCAAACAAACTTATTGAGTTGTTGGTTGAGATTGTAGAACAAGAGGAGATAACTAAGAGCAAAGCTTCAGGGGAGCACCTCACATGGGATGACCTGGCCAAAATGAAGTACACTTGGCGAGTAGCATTGGAAACTTTGAGGATGTACCCGCCTGTTTTAGGCCCCTTCAAGAAAGTCCTTAAAGACTTTGAATATGAAGGATTCACAATCCCCCAGGGATGGCAAGTATGAAACTAAATTTGATTAACTTACGTATATTTTGATACCAAGAATTTAGGACTAATATGTACTTTCCGAAATTTCAGATCGTTTTGGGTGCATCCTTGACACACATGGATGAGGAGATCTTCCCTGATCCATCAAGGTTTGATCCGACACGGTTCGAGAAACAGGCTTCAATCCCAGCTTATTGTTTTGTGGGATTCGGAGGAGGACCAAGGATTTGTCCTGGATATGATTTTGCAAGACTTGAAACTCTAAGCACCATTCATTACTTGGTGACCCAATTCACATGGAAACTCAGTTGTAATGACACTTTCTCCAGAAATCCAATGCCATCTTTCAAGAGGGGACTACCAATACAAATTTAGCCAAAATAGTTTCAGTGAACTTTGTACTGGTTCTATTAATCTCTATGAAAAACTAATCATGTAACAATTATATTGATGTTTTATTAAATAAATTGTTCAGCCTTTTAAGGAAGAGCCACTATATTCTATCATACACCTGTCATAGAAAAGTTAGCTCGCTAAGCCTTTTTTCATCATTTGGAAAAACAAGCTTGAAGGATTATGCTACAATACTTAAAGTGAAAAGCTCAAAATAAGTTTGACAATCCATCTTTATGACTAGTTTCTGCAAGTGTTGTAAACTGATACCAAAAGACCCATTAATCACTCTGCCAACGCTTCTTTGGAATTTCGCAAGTTTAAATAAAGAAAGATAAAACTGGAATCCAGCAGGCCTAAATAACTGTACATGATTAGAGCATTTCATTGAAAAAGCCGCTCTACAGCGGCTAGTTAGGCGTATCCTAAGAAAAGAATTAGCTAGTTGTATTCATAAAGCTCAAAACTTGTCTTTTCTTTTGATAAGATGGATAAATTATTTCTTTTGATTATTTCAATGTATAAGGGACACACGATTGCTGCAATTATTGAATCTTTAATCCTGCCCAGGTCTCATATCACTGCTAAAAGTCTCTCCATTAGCCATGAATCTTGCTCTGTATTTTTTCTTGATCCTTATGCTTCTGCCCCTTCATCATTTTCTGAAAAAAAAGAACTTCAAAAAAGCTTCCACCAGGTTCTCTGGGGTTGCCTATCATAGGCCAAACACTCAGCTTGTTACATTCTTTGCAAACCAACACTACAGAAAAATGGTTTCAGGAAAGAATAAAGTATGGTCCCATTTCCAAACTCAGTCTCTTTGGGACCCCAACAGTATTCCTTTGTGGGCAGGCTGCAAATAAATTTATCTACACTTGTGATGGCAAGGCACTTGCCAATCAGCAACCGCCATCGATTCGAAGGATTTGCGGCGAGTTGAATATTACTGAGTTGAGTGGTGATGACCACAAGCGTATGAGGGGAGCTCTTGTGTCATTTTTAAAGCCTGAAGTTCTGAAACAATATGTAGGAAAAATGGATCAAGAAATCAAAAACCATCTGGAGCTGCATTGGCCTTACAAAAAAAACATTGCGGTATGTCAAAAATTAATGGTATAGATTTCTGTAAGTTTTTCTGCTTTCTCTTAGGAGCAATTAATGTTGGACATCTCTCTATTTTTGCAACAACATAGGTAATGCCATTGATGAAGAGCCTCACCTTCAGCATAATGAGCTCAATCATATTTGGAATTGAACAAGGATCAACTTGTAGAGCATTCACGTTTAAGCTGAAAAATTCCGGTCCATTCCTCTGTTGAAAACGATCCCTAAGATCTAACCAAATCTCTCGGGCAGAAGAAGCAAAAATATACTGGCAGAAATTTCCTTTGAAACCGAATAAGATCTAAGATAACAAATATATTATTGCGAATCCAGGAATTGAGTAGATTATTGTCAGTACCTTTAGGTTGAGAAAATGAACCATAACAAATCCCATTGTTCTTCACAGATAGGACAATTAACATCGGCGACCCAGCTAGTGTAATTCTCATTAGCGCGTGTGGCGAGACAAGCATGCCAGGGCTGTCAGAATATGAGGATAGTAAGGATTCGAAGGTTATCAATGGCAGAATGATTCGAATTGGTACGCTCTTCAGAAGTGAATCATCAGCGTTCGAGGACAAAGTAGCCATATTGAAGAAGACAAGAACAATCAATCGTAGAGAAAAAGAAACAAGCAAATTTGCAGCGGGTCAAATATGCTCGATACCATATTAAGCTCGAGAAGAAGAAGAAGAAGAACTGTGACGAAGAGAGAGAAGGAAGAATAAACTGCTTTCTTTATCTTGAGAATAACAAAATAGAAGCAGGCTATTATATAGCCACTATTACAATGAATTAATTATAACATAAAGTGTAATTAGTGAAGCTAACTAACTAACTAATCTGAAGATTAACAACAATCAGTATTTACAATATTTACACATCCTAATAGTATAAGAAAAACTTGTCTACAGTTTGTCTTAGTGTACCGAGTTTTTGAATTTGTTACTTCCTTTATAACAACAAATTCAATATCATTATCAGACAAGGAAATTGTAGATTTATAATGATTGCCGATATGACACATCCTTGTGGCTTCTCACCTTCTTAATCAGACTTTCGCTTGCGATCAGTCTATTTATGCTACCGTGGTTAAAGGTGTATATTTCAGAAAAAAGTATATGCAAATAAATCAATTTTCAGAGATTGATAAGCAAACAGCTAACTGAGTATTTACAATTGTTAGCATAGAGACCCTAAGCATGTATCTTCTTTGCTAGATTCCTTCAGGAAGGTTGTTAAAGATTTTGAATACGAGGGATACACTATTCCCAAAGGATGGAAGTAAGACAAATATGTGTATCATTTTTATTTCCTTATTTCTACTCCCAGGGATCGATTTCAAGTGGTAATAAAAAAATGGACCTTAAACCACCAGGCTGAGCCCCTAGGGGGAATTCATGTATATTTTTCCCCCCATTTCTCTGCAAATTAACATTACTATATCCTTAAGTAATTAGTATGTATTTGATTCCTAAAATTCATTTTTGACATGAACTCTTCATCAATTTTAGGTAATTTAATATTTGGGCTGCATGCATCACGGTTGAGGCTAATGCACCACCCTATAGCTCTCTGGCATTTGGAGGAGGGCCAAGGATTTGTCCCGGATATGAATTCGCAGAATTGAAACTCTAGACCATTCATACCTGGTGACCCAATTTCCATGGAAGCTGTGTTGCATGGACCCTTCCTTCTCTAGAATCCTTTTCCAGTTTTCAAGCAGGGATTGCAAATACAAATTGAGCCAAAGAACTTTGTCAATATCAATAAACACAAAGTGAATGAATTTGTGAACAACAATACTAGTACAATCGATGGACTCAAAGATTCAATTTATGAGACTTGCTTTTTTCATGACGCGAGTGGTTTTTACCAAGAGTTCATTTCTACCCTAGTATCTACATATTAAAATTTGTTTCATATACCTCTTTGTAACATCGTTTATTATTAAATGCATCTATTGTTTTTGAAATATATTATATACTCACTGATTACATTTAGCGTTACAAGAGTATCATCTACACCCTCCTCCGCGACTAGCAAAACCCCTCCATCGAAAGATACTTATTTTAATAACTTTGGATACTTTTGATCTCAGACTGTAAATAAAATAAAGCCATTGTTACATGGTTAAATAATTTTTAAACAGCTTACCGTGGTTTTAAGGTCTTAGGCCATCACATCGCAGATTTGCATTTAGAAGTTGTTTGATAGTATTAATGCTTCACTTGGACAGCAGCTCTCATTACAAATATCGCTTAACAATGCCTTTTTGTATTTGATGAAAGGTCCAAACACTTGCATGATTTTATGATAAGATGGAGAACTTCAATCAAAGATACCCAGTTCCTTTTTGTTTACCATTAAACATCAAGAGAAAAAACGAGAGAGACCATACTGCTTTTCTGTATCTGAGTCCTGAATAAGGACACCAATCTTTCACCAGAAGTTTCGTGTCTAATAATTTCAGCTATGAACCTTTCAATCTATTTCAGTTACTGTTTTTCCTTCTACTCTATACTATTTTATCCAGTGGCAAGGAGAACTAATTCCAAAAAGCTTCCTCCAGGTTCTATGGGTTTACCAATTATAGGAAACAGCCTCAAATTTCTGCACGCCATGCACACTGACACAATGGAACAATGGTTTCACGAGAGAATTGGGCAATAGGTCCCATTAATAAAATCAGTTTTGGGACCCAGCAGTATTTCTTCATGGGCAGGCTGCAAACAAGTTTGTGTACACGTGATGCTGATACTCTTGGCCCTCAGCAACCACCATCCTTCAAAATGATTTGTGGTGAGAGGAACATTTTGGAGTTAAATGGAGATGACCACAAGCGTGTTAGGGGAATGCTTATGTCATTTCTGAAGCCTGAAGTTCTGAAGCAATATGTTGGAAAATGGATGGAGAAATCAGAAAACACCTGGAGATACACTGGCATGGCAAGCAAAACATTGCAGTAAGTCTAAATATTTTGATAGTTAAAACATAAGCAGAATATTTTTTTGACATAGTATTGAGGCTCAACCTGAGAAGATACACTGAGCACAAACTGCTTGTGGAAATCTGAAAGGCCATGATAAGATATATAGTTAGAGATTGGATAATATGCAGAAGTGGAAGTAGGAGTAGAAGAACCTACAAGTAAATTGCAGTGGTAATCCTTCAAGTAATGAGGTTGATGAATCATCCTGATAGATTTGCGAAGAACAACACCAGCAGATGAAGAAGGAGTAGTTGCTGGAATATCATTTATTGGAATATTGGCTGCTGAAGTAGAAGTATCACCAGAGGGAAAAAGTGGATCATGAACAGGTGAAGAAGCAAGATCTAGAATAAAAGGAGCCTGTAATGAAGAATGTGGCAGAACTAAATCTGGAAACAGATCGGTAACCTAATCGGAACTAGTAATAGCATGAAAAGGAAACACTTCCTCATGAAACACTGCATCTCATGAAAGAAACACTTGTTTGGTTTCCACATCATAGAACTTATAACCTTTCACACCAGGCGGATAACCAAGGAAAGCACACTGGAATGGATGGTACAAAGTCCTCAAGCTTTTCATACTTTTGGAGAACTTCCTGCTGGACGGCAAGCTCAAGCACGAGGTTGGAACTTGTTTCGATGAGCAGCTAAGGTGGAAACAAATGCTAAACAGCCAAAGACTCGAAAAACAATGTAATCATGAGCTGTTTTGTATAGCAAATGAAAATGTGTGTTGTGCCTCAATAGTAGGGAAGGAGTTCTATTAATCAAGAAGGTCGACGTAAGAACACAATCTGTCCAAAAAGAAACTGGGATCCTGGATTGAAAAAACAATGACCAAGCCACATTCAATAAGTGCTGATGTTTTCGCTCCACAACTGAGT